AGTTCAGCAACCATGAAGTACAGGTATGACTTGATAGCATATTTCAACCTGTTAACAATTCTGTCATTTTCAAGACCTTTGTAAAACTCCAGTTGAAACTAGTTGAAACAATCCGAATATTGATCTCGTATTACTTTACTTACTGGACGCTTGCCCATCATCAGAGTAAAACTTGAATTAAGATGCAAAATTACTATATAGACCCCTTTCATGTGAAGTCAAAGAAGCTTCATCTGGAGGACAAAAGCGACAAAAGATTTTTTCCCTCTGGAGAACTAGGATCTCTTGTTTTGTCCTCCAGTTGGAGTCGCATTCCCACGAGCAAGGGCTCTATACAGACATAAATTCACAAAACAATAGATATATAAACAATAAAATATTTAAGCAATTATTAAATACTGGAAAAAATTACGCGCTTTAAAGGTTGTAAATTTGATGTAAATATTACTTTACTTACTGGACGCTTGTCCATCATCAGAGTAAAACTTGAATTAAGATGCAAAATTACTATATAGACCCCTTGCATGTGACGTCAAAGAAGCTTCATCTGGAGGACAAAAGCGACATAAGATGTTTGCCCTCTTGGGAACTAGAATCTCTTTTTTTGTCCTCCAGTTGGAGTTGCATTCCCACGAGCAATGGGTCTATACAGACATAAATTCACAATAAAAAAATAAAACAATAGATATATAAACAATAAAATATTTAAGAAATTACACCAAAACACTGGAAAAAATCGCGCGCTTTAAAGGTTGTAAATTTGATATAAATATGATTTAATAAGCAGTCGTTTGGAAAAACATGAAATAATAAAACCTCCACCTCTACAATATGTGAACAAAATTATATATATCTTTTGTTGATTCTAGCCTCTTCCTTAGCCAACTCTTTTTTTCCTTCTCCGGGCTTCCTTTGTAACGCTAGGGACTGCACTCTACTTCATTCGGTCGCATTCCTCCTCTTACGGCTCCCAGTAAAAGACTGAAAGCCGTGGAGGAGCATATGTTGATCCTTAGAAACATTTAATGAATATTTAATAAGATATCGTTTACCGTCCATGATTTCATGAGCGTGACGGATTTTGGTCTAAAATTAAAGGTATCTGTTGGTATGGTCTGTATCGGACGTATCAAGCCTTAGGTGTGTCCTCGTTCTTCCCTGCACCTCTCCAGTTTTGTCATTCTTAACTATGACAAGATTTGGGTTCACTTGCTTTACGTATATTAACTCCAAACCACACTGTTCCTCATCAGCCAATCGTAATCAAGTATTTAAATTTATTTCAAGTATATTATCTGAATTCTGAATATTACAAGCAAAATACTTTTTTATCTAAATGTAGAACCTGGCATTAAATTTTTGCAGAAGTACTCTGATTTTTGTCTTTAAAAAATTCTATTGTAAAAAAAAATTTTTGTTGACAAAATTAAGTTCGGTTCCAGTTCTCGCGCGCTGTCTGCGCAAATTGTCTTCCCATGGTCCTCTACGGTCTCATCTTCGATGACGTAACCTGCGTTTTATTCAAGTTGTCAGTTACCAGAACACACATATAGGTCACATATAGATATCAATATTTTCCTTCGTTGTGGACATTACAGGTCAATTCCAAATCATTGACTTCCTCTAAAGCTCTAATTTCGTTATAATTCAATCTAGAAGCTAAGTGATTGAAAGTTATATATTGGATACTTAAATGAATTTGTTATATATATGGTTCAAAACGTTTTCTTTTTTCCTTATTGTCAACTGCTGAAAAATAAGCTTTTAAACCATGTTGTGGACAATACGTATGAAACTACCACAAATTCAATTGCCCTAATTCTTTTTTGCATTTTCCTGTAATTTGAAAGATGTTTAACAATAGTCAATATTATGGTTACACTAGCTGATGATAAAAGATAAAAGAAAGGCAATTCAAAAATGTTTAACTTTTCCAAGATAACAAAAGGTTAAACTTTCATGTCTGATCATGGGATGGGTGAGGCAAGTAACTGCAATATATTTTCAAATTTAAACAATATTCAGGTCTTAAGGTTTCTAATGCCAAACGGAATTAAAAAGACCCGCTGACTTTCGAAATTTGCCGCTTTCTTTCAATGTCTCATGTGGAATTGCCTGTTATGTTTTGTAATAAATCATTATTATTATCATTGACTATTTACCCTAATATCATGTTTACAAGCACTAGACGTAACACACACTTGTTGACAAATCGCTGATAAATGTCTGCACAAATAACAAAGAGCAATAAGTTAAGCGTTATCTTATTGTGCTATCATGTATTAGAATCCACTTGGACGCATTTTCATTTCAGATTTCTTAAAACTTTGAAAATTTTTGTGATAATGGAACCAATTCATTCCTTTTTTCGAAACCTTGTTTCCGATGTACTTTCCATTCAGATCAGCCCAATGACAACTATTATACCACCAGGCACCAGTATATAATTCTGCACAGTTATAATGCCAATTGTCGTTATCTCTTTCTTTTGTACTAAACACCATATTGCTATTATATGTTAACGAGTCCCCAGCAGTACCTGAATACGAGCCAACCCTCAGCCTGTACTTGTCTGATTCATCAGCAACACTAAAACTACCATATTTGGCATATTTTCTAGTTCCATCCCAGTCCTCTACCTCAATTCGCACTCTCGTCGATGCTCTTGCTGTCAGTCGATGGATGTAATCGTTTCCCAACCAAAATTCGCCATACAGGTTTCCAAAACCTGTTTTGTACTGCTGCCAATTGCGATGGAAGTCAACCGATCCATCTCGTCTTCGCTGGAACACAGTCCAACCCCCACCATCAGTTGACATGTCGCAGTAGACTTGAAATGCAGGCTGATTGTCGGGTTGAACGGTGTACACACCACTACGTCTCTCTCCTGATTTGTAATGCTCGGCGCAGTCTTTGAAATGCACAGTCAATGTCGAACTTACATGTGAATTAAAAACACCAGCACTCGTAGCAGTACACAAAAACACACCCGAATCTGTTTTCTGAATGTTCCTTATAATCAAAGAGCCATTTCTCACTTCATATCTACCAGCAGGAAGAACACCGTTGTCTTTTCTCCAACTGATTACAGGCTGAGGCTCACCTTTAGCAGTACATTTAAACTGAACAGTTGTTCCTTTAAGAGCTTTAAACGACGATGATGGCTTGACAACAAACACAGGCAAATCGATAACATTTACCATGATAAATACTACAGCAGAACCAAGAAGATTTTCAGCTTTGCAAACATATATCCCTGAATCATCTTTTTTCGCTTTTAATACAGTAAGCTGTCCATCTCTGACAACAGATCGATTATCAGGCAAAGAACCGATAGACTTAGACCACTTGACATTTGGTTCAGGGATTCCAGTCACGTGACAAGTAGGTAGAAAAATGTCATCACCAATCTTTCTGAAAATTGGTCCTTTTTTCAAGGTCAGTCGAGGACGGAAGTTTACTTGGAGTTTCGCCGTTGTTTTTGTGCTGCCAAGAAGATTAGAAGCCTTACACTGATAGATTCCTGAGTCATTGATAGTCACGTGTTTGATATCAAGTTTACCAGTGCTATCAACTACTGCTCGTTTGTGTGGTAGTGTACCGTTTTCTTTACTCCACACAACATCAGGTCGAGGATAACCACTAGACGAACAATGTAAGACGGCGGACTGGCTTTCATTGACGATGAGATATGTTGGTGAAATGAGTACTGTTGGACGTGCTAAGGAAGGACCACGATCTCCTTTTGGCCCCATTGGTCCAGGCATTCCTCTGGGACCAGGGAGCCCAATCTTTCCAGGAAAACCCCGTTGCCCTTGTTTACCTCGGCGCCCAGTTTTACCCATGCGTCCTCTCGGTCCCCTTGGACCTGTTTTTCCTTGCGGGCCGGGAGGTCCTGGAATGGGAATCCAGTATTTGGCAGATTGTAAATTGGCAACAGCTTTTCCCACAACTTTATGGATTTTCTTTGATAATAAATCATCATTTATGGTGCTGTTGACTACAGTTGTAACATCTCTTACCGTTCTTGTGAAAACGTCTTTCGTCTTCTTTGCTTCTTGTTTGTCAAATAAGCGTTCTTTCGTTCGCTCGTCGTGTTTTGAAGTTGTTTCTGGCAGCTTGATGTCTCTTGAATACAGCTCGTTTAGCATCAATTCTGTTCTTATAAATAAACCACAGCACAACAACAAACTCGCGACCGATATAGTGATGGCAATTTTGGATACCAAGCAAGAATGGCTGAGTTTATATGCCATATTTTTTTTATAAGACAGGAAGACTGACACGCAGTGAAAATGACCCAGTGTCACTATTTCACTGTTATATTATACTTCAATGCGTGTCCCGTCATGTTGTGACATTTCATACTCTTAGACAAAAATAGCTGACCTGGATGTCACGTGACGTCGGTATGACATTGATATGTTTTCGATGTGCGGTGCAGTGTTATCACTTCTAGAGAGGGGAGGAGGGGTGGGGGTGTTTCTACCGGTATATATACTTGCTTGCCAATGACAGAATTTGTTTCTGAGCAAGGAATATGGGATTTCATACAATATATAGACCGGGACCACAACAAGTGAAATTGTTATATTGGTAAATTATTTTCACTGTTTTCTCGCTCTCTTGTTGGACGACTCAGTGGCACGTGTCCGGAGCTAAAATCAACTGTTGACTTATTGGTCAACAGTTTGGCGATTGTTGACCGCTTGGCGGGAAAATGCCACCTCGCGACGAGTAAAAGTTTGTAAAGGCGGGAACTGTTTTTTGCTGCTTTCGACGACAGTCGCTTTCGACTGTTTACAATGGAGCCGGCATCAAAAAAGATTTTCAAATCTTAGTCAAGAAATAGACGAAATGGTTGTCAACAACAAAGACTCGGAAAACACTCACAATGCTAAAATCGCGAAACTTTATTGTAATGTATATTGTCCCCGGATATGCGTCACAAGGACCTTTAACCCCTTTCTCTCTCCACATTATTGTAGTAAACACAACTCAGGTGATCTATTCACAATACTATTGTATTGTAGAGGCTTTCCTGCCGAGAGACTCGCTCCGTTGGTTAACAGCGCCCCTTATCAGTCCAGCCGAGGCAGTTCTTTCACCTGTTTGTAATTCCCACTTTAGATGTTTGCATTGCTGTGCAGTAGGATTAGCCTAAGCTGTATTGTTAGGTACTAACGACCACCGTCTAAGTGCTTGGCAACAACCGACAAAGGTTTGTCCACGCTCAAAATCGACAATAGGGTAAGATATAGATTGTATCATGTTAAGTTTTTCATAAATTTAAAGATATCTTAGCAGTACTATACAACAATAACAAAAGTTTGGTTAACGATACTGTCAGACATCAAGGGTAATGATCGTTGAACTCGCATTGAATGGTTAATATTCGATAACTATATTCGGGGCCTGTATATTTCTCTTCATCGTTGGCAGTCTGCGTCCGAGGATTGGCTCATTCTTGTATATCTCCGAGCTTTGCAAACTAATCTTTTAAAAATATTTTCAAAAGAATGCGTGTCAGTATTCTTTTTTTACTGGGTATCTATTTCCTTCGGAGTTTAATAGGGTCAAGTCGAAGCTCAGTGAGCAGGCGTGCAGCAAACTTTGACATAATTTATATACTTACGTATTTTTATTTAAATCTTTATTTATTTATTTTTATTTTATTTATTTATTTATTTTAGTTTTTGCTTTCGTCTTTTTATTTAAACATTTTTTAAACAAGATTTTATCAATTATGCAAAAAAAAATTATCATTCTGAAAGAACAACGCTTCGTTGTTATATTGATTACMCACGAGTAATTATCGATAATTATGATCTAAATATGGGTGGGACAAAAGAAACAATTAAAATTGTCCGACACCTTTTGTCAAGCTACCATGCACTGCTTCTAATTTTTTCAAACATCAAATTAAGCARTTCTGAGAAGAAAAWWYWTTTTTAAAAGACAGCRGCTTGAGTTGTGCGAAAATGGGCGATACGCCCGAACTGCGTTCTGGGARATAWATGACGTCATTGACTATTTCTCGTCGCTTTTCAGTTGATAGAAAAYRAAGTCAAAAGCGTGCTGTTTTATATGTTTTGTACAGATTCCTAACAAGGACTGGCTTCTTTCTGTGGCTATAAAGAAACGTATTCAATATGGCAAGCGATCAAAAGTCTTCAATGACGGATTCAAGTACTGCACAAGCCGCTAAAGGAAGAAGAAGAGGCAGTCTTTTCGAGGTCGGCTTTCCTGCCCGTGGTGACAGAGGTTCAAGTATTGTTTCTATCCCAAGCATGATTCCAAGCCATATCGGACCTTCCCATCAGAAAGTCCGATATGAAAACACTTATAAGATGGAGCCTGACAAACGCTTTAACATTCATGAAGTGAAAGAAATCCTTCAAGAAACCCTTGACGAATCACTTCAAGACGTCAAAAAGTACGACTCCACAAGGTGCCGAGCTCTTGCAAACACACTTTCTCATACTATTACTGAAAGAGTTAAGCTGTTGGGTTTTAAGCGATTCAAGTTCGTTGCTACAGTTACTATTGGTGAAATGAAAGACCAAGGAATACGGAGTGCAAGCAGGTTTTTATGGAACGAGAAACATGACAACTGGGTTGATGCTGTCTTTACAAATCCCGAGATTTTTGCAGTGGCCGTTGTTTACGCTGTCTACCAAGAATAATAACAATCCAATTTGCAAGTTAAGTTTTGAAATTTTATATACCTTCAATTGAAAACTGGTACATATTTTACAAAGTTTTATGAGAATTTTTTGTATTAAAATTTAACGTTGAGGATGAGAACCTGAGGCGAARCTCAAAGTCAATGAAATKGTCTRTAATCTTATAAATTTTAAGTATTTTTACCGACACATTTACAAAAAATAAACTCAGTATTGACTATTGAAAAATCCGTTGTTAGGTGTGGATTTAACATTTTTCCAAYTAATTCTCTTTTGAGAAAAATTCAAAAAGTAGCCCTTGAACATCCGTTCCCACCCCWCTCCMCGAATTTTCCCCGAAAAGGKGTGGGGAGGGGTGGGAACGGATGTACACAGGCTATCAAAAAAGGACAATCAACCAGAACAAAGAAACTAGTTTTTCTTCTCCAGACTATCATTATACATATTCAGTCAGCTACTCCCCCCTGTCACGAAGTATCATTTTGGTGGTGGTACTACCCCCCAACATTCACAGTACGATGAATATAACGAGCCCCTCATCACGTCATTACGGTCTCCGGTTTTTAATACGACCACTGCGTACAAACACTAAATGTGAGTAACACTTTCCACTTTTTACTACAAATAATGTTAATTAAACTGTATTTAGTGATATTTATGTTGTACAGTTTTAGTGTTTGTACTCTATCAGGGGATAGAGTGGTTTTCATAAACCCGTGAAACAAAAACTATTAGTTAAAGTGTAATAGTCAGATGACAACAAAAGAAAACAATGGTATTAGGGTGTMCTAAAGTGTATTAAACTAAAGTGTATTTCACGGGTTTATGAAAACCACTCTAGCAGGCAGTGGAACAGATACTTGGGTTGAACTACAAGAAATAACACATAACTCTTTGTTTTATATTTAATGCTGTCAAAGTTAATTACTTTTTTATATTATTCTTGTTGTTAAATACAACAAAATCTCAATTGTACATATACCAATCTTATCAATTCTTTGCTATTATCAATGATGTACATCAGCCAATAAATATACCTTTCATACGATATGATATCCATACATATGAAGCTTTGTAATAACATTATTTATCTATACATATGAAGCTTTGTAATAACATTATTTATCTATACATATGAAGCTTTGTAATAACATTATTTATCTATTTTTAGTTGGTATATATAAGCAACATTTATTTTTAAGTTCTTTATTATTATTAGTAAAGTCCATCACCATAATCAAGCCCCATCATTGACAACACCATGGAATGAGCAAAGCTATCGCTGTCCGTCTCCCCAGCAATGACCTTCAGGTTGGGACGCCTGCGTCTCAGCCTATAGACAACATCACGATTAATACCACTCTGATCTGTTACACATAACTGCTTAAGATTTGGGAGGACMTTGTCGTCAAACAACTTCTTCAAGGATTTGTCAGTTAGTCTTMCACTGATCTTATCATTTCCTGTAACATCCAGTTCCTCAAGGTGGAYGCATTTMTCAATRATGTCAATYATGGCCTTGTCAGTTGCTCCTGTCACTGATTCCAGCTTCAGTTTGCGCAGYTTAGGACACTTTTCTGCAAGGTGMTGGATTGCTTTGTCAGTGAGGTGTGAACCACATCCAGAATCACTGGATCCTAAAGTCAGTACGACCAAGTTACTGCCCCACAGGTCAACCACTTTGATGAGGTCAGGGTCCATTACAGAAAACTCACTGTCAAAACCAACACGGCATAYCTAAAAGAAAATAGATAGTTGCTATTATTTAGTAAAACATTATTGATGATGGGGATGATAGAGAGTGATAAACTACCAAATGCTGACTGATTAATGTTTCATCTTTCTTCTGCATCTGCATTGTTATTTTTTGCATTCTTGATGTGTAATCAGTCCAGACAATGTCACCATATCCAATTAGCAATATTTAAATAGAAATCAATCAACAAAAGATATTTTGTCTACTACATTTGCAGAATTACAAAAACACCATTGGTAACACTAKTCATTGCTAATTGACATATGGTGAAAGTCCTTTTATCTGAGCTGATATGCAATCATTTTGCATTTGACTGTATCCAGTAATACAGTACCGATCTAAACCTGCTTTYGCTTTTTGAATGCTGCTTTAGTGCAGTAGCTYTATTGTTAGGTTAAGTTTTGTTTTATTGTTRGAAGACTTATCTATTGTTTGTCCATTGTTTTCTCAACGTATCATGAGACCCATTCCGKTCGGTGCTGACTGGCCCGACTATACATAGAGAATATYAGTAAAARACTGACCTGTTTGTCAGAAGCATTTGAAGTCAACTCATCAAATTTCTGTTTGTTGGAGAAGAAGACGCTGGGTTCAATCTTGTAAARCTGTGTTCCKGACTGGTACTGAGGAGGGATAAAGATTTYCCAGGGATCTTCATGAGCAGTGCATGTCTTCCCACTCTTTCTACAGCATCTTCCACACATCATGTTATCACAATCTTTCTTTTTCTGGTTGTTGCACAATTTGTCCTGGCATTTCTTTGCTTTGCTATCATTTTGAAGGATYTGGACTGTTTTTTTGCTGATGTCTTGTCCATGGTTGAYTTGGSTATTCTTGTGAGTGTTCAGTTTTAATGGAGTTGCAATCTTCAAGGGTTCTTTCACTCCAAAGGTTTCACCTTTTAACAAAAGAAGATAAATATCAAAAACAATAAAAGCAATAATAATTAATTATATTGATGGCATCTCATAAATCTTTCTTTCATCAGCATCATTATCAAAGTCATCATCATCACTCATTGTCATATTAATGATTGTTTCTTTGTCTGAATAAAGTGCATCACAAATAAAAATATCGTGATGAAGCATCTTTGAAATATCTAAAATGTTAAGTTCATGTATAGAAATATCTAGACATATATTTTTTTGTTTGTAAATAACCAAAAAATATCTTGTAAAAATATCTTGTAAAAATATCTTCTATTGTCAATAACAACATCTTGTGGGCTTCGCTTATGGCAAAGCTCTCTCCAATTGTAAATAGTAACTTATAATATTTAGTAATTATTATCTAGCAGTAATGTACTAATTAATGTAGTAATGTACTAATAAATATATTAAGACGAAAAAAAAAAAAAAGTGCATCACTCATTGTCATCACCATGACACCTGATTACTGAAGTCGCATTGCACTGTACAACCTGCTGTACATTGCCTGATTTCATACTGTGGGAGACTGGGTACAAGTCCCTTAATTCTTACGATGGTGAGATAAGATTTATATAGAGTGGTTTTCATAAACCCGTGAAATACACTTTAGTTTAATACACTTTAGTACACCCTAATACCATTGTTTTCTTTTGTTGTCATCTGACTATTACACTTTAACTTATAGTTTTTGTTTCACGGGTTTATGAAAACCACTCTAAAACGAAAGATCGCACTGTAAATAAGAAACTCACAAAGTTTGGTGTTAATCAGATCAAACGTAAATGATTGGCAGCTTTTCAATGTATGTGAATTTAGAAAAATCCGAACACAGTGTCCAGCATTCTAATATATCAATTTCTTCGGAAATTCTAGCATTTTTGAAAGGCTGTAAATCATTTAATACAATGTATTGACCAGATTGACGCCAAATTTGGACAGTTAATGTTTCTCAATGTGTTCTTTCGTTCTATATAAGTCTTATCTCACCATCATACGAATTAAGGGAATTCCCATGGTATAGAATCGGGCAATGACTTGCTGAACATACATTAGCATAATCATGCAATATGTAAATTATGTCAACCATTAGACATGTGAAGCCTATACATCGTGTGACAATCTTTTAAACATTTATGTTTGAATTTTTTTCATTTAATCTATATCAAGTTGCATCAAGTAAATTAGTATCTCCTTCGCAGCCTCCCCTTTTGTTGAGCTTCCTGAGGGACAGGAAGCCCTGAGGGACAGGAAGCCCTGAGGGACAGGAAGCCCAACAAAAGTGGAGGCTGCGAAGGAGACTACAAGTAAATAGATCTGACATACTTTTTTGGGATTATCATCACCATCTTCATACATTAAATTTATTGTACTATTTATAATCATCATCATAATCAATACCAACAATTCCCCTATAATCTTCAAGAGCCAGTTGTGTGAAGTGTGGATAAAGTTAACTACAGATTTTGTATAAGGATTTACCCTGTGAATTATTAACTCCATTCATCCTTTGTACAACTGGACCCTGAGTATTGTTCTGCAAATCATGTACTTACCAAGCTCTGCTAGAAGTTCTGGCTTCCAAAGTGAATCAGTTGCTTTCTTAAAAAACTTCACTTTGTCTTCATCGTTCCACTCTAACTTCCTCTGCAATCCTGCAAATATGATGAATGCAACACCTTCATCTGCTGCAACTGGGCATTCACACTCAGCCGTCTTACATCTGCATTCAAAGGAATCTTTCTCTGCAGTAGCCACCAAGTAATCATGGACAAGTTGACCCAGCTTCTCAGCATCTTGTAATTCCTTCCCAGTRTAGTRGAAAAATTCTATTGCRTCAACATTGAAGCCATTTTCTTCAATTTGCTGAAAGAGATGACCTACAGCTTTTGGTCCCCATTTGGTAGGGTCCTTTTTCTCTGCCTGTATCATAGTCAAAGCAATGTGCTTCTCTAGGRATTTCACTTTGGTAGGTGAGTTACAAACAGTTAAAATAAGGGCAGTAAGATCAGCATCAAGTTTATCCACAATCATCATCAACAAAGATGCAACATCCATGGATTCTGGTTTCCAAAGTCGTAGCACATCACCTAGGATCTTGCTTGTAATGAAGTCATATTCATCATAAACTTTAACATCAATTTGCACAAGAGTTGTTATCAGTTTGAAGATGTCCTCTGGCGACCAGTCTTTGATACTATACTCTTTGAGCATGTCAGAAAATTCCTCTAGAGTTTCACTCTTATCCTCAAAAT